AGATTAGCAAACTTAATTTAATCAAATTTAATCGAATGAATAAACTAACACAGGGCAACCTGAAGCTAAATAAACAAATTAAGGCAAACAAACAACGAACAAGTAAACGACAATCAACAAATAAATTAAATTAATTAACTAAAAGAGATCAAGCTAAAGTTAATTAAGTAAATTAAAACCTAAACTAATCAGACTAAACAAATGACTAAGCAACTACATTAAACGTATTAAAGCATACTAGCATTTTTAGCATTTTAGCAAACACTGTTAGTATACAGTACTAAACATTGACAAACTTTAAACATTAATAATTAAATTTATTAATACTTTAATATTTAGTTCAGTATATTAGTATCTGGTAGGGTAAACAACAAACAAAGCAAATTGCAAACGGCAAGACAGTGGCAGCAACCAAATAAGAAGTAAGTAAATAATAGATAACGCAACAACTAGGGTGGCGAAGCAAACGAGCAACACAACACAACACAGCAACAATAACAAAAACGGCACGATGAACAATCAACACAGCACACGATATAATAATATAATAATAAATAATAAACAATAAATAATAAATAAGCATTAATATAAACACCTACTAAACCATGGGCAAACAAGAGAAAACGGTTGGACAGAAAGGACACGATCAATATCATAAATACCTTAAGGCGCGGAAAATGCACAAGAATCCAAAGAACCGGCAAGCAGCAGGTGCAGGGTAAAGGGACCATGCAGGCAACATTGCGGCGACAAGTGGAGGACGAGACAAGAGCACCTAAGTTGAAACAGATGGAAGAACGAGGATTAGGTGTCAGAGCGCTGGACAAAGCACCTGTTATCCTATACTGAACTAAACGGAGGCTATCCTTTTTCTTTCCCTCCGCATCTATCTCTTTCTATCTTGTATTTTATGGCTAGGGACAACAAGGGATATACTTACTGCTGCTTTCGCTTTCACTTTGCCACCTTCGCTCTTTACTCTCACTTTCTTTTTTCTTTCTCCCTTTCTACCCTCACTTTCCAAACAATGGCGAGGCATGCCCTGTACGCTGTTGTTTACTTTTCCTCTCTCGTTGCTTCCGCTTTCTTTTCTTTTCTTGTTTTTTCCTGCTTCGGCGCTCCCACGTCTTCCCGAACCTTCGGTAGAGGAAAGACAGGAAAGTTAGATTATAAGGCGCGGAACTCTCAGAGGATATAAACGAACAAGATAGGAGCGACAAGTAGAAAACGGCTCATCCGAACGATAGGACGCAAGATAGTAAGGAAAAGGAGGCAAATGTAAATTATAAAAGACTCACCATGATTAAGATTAAGAGAAGCCTTGGAACAAGGAAGCATTCAACAGCCAAGGAAAGCACGGAAAATCAATGCATTAGATGAGCAACAGGGAAAGCAAGCAAGACCCCCTAGCGGCAGAACGCTCAACCAGGAATAAGGAAGATCAACAAATCAGCGACGAGGAAAAAGGACCAATCAGCGGCAAGAGAGACTGACGAATCAGCGAACGAGTATGGCAGCCAACCAGTGACACGGGTGAGCAGCGCCGCGGCGGAAGACAGGAAACTAAAAGTGGAATGAACACAGCTTACATAGACGGCAGAAAGGAAACCTCAAAAGGATTAAAAGCAGAACCTAGAAAGGAGCGACCAATGAGAAGCGGTGGAAAACGAAGCGACGCCACATGGCAAGGGATGAAGACTAGCAACCTAAATGCAAACAATAGTAAATAATAATAATAATAATAAATAATCAATAATAATAATAAATAATCAGCAAATAAATAACTGGCAGATAACAAGTAATTATTCCTGCTGCAAAGGACATTTTCGCACATGAAGGGATAGTATATATGTTCACGAAATTATATTTTAGGAGATTTAATGCGATCGCACGGTTACCGCGGGCTCGCGGATGCTGCGATCTCGCGGCTTCTCGCGATCTCGCGGTTTTCCGAATCTTACGGATCTCGCGCGGACTTGCGGTTTTCAATGCAATGGGCATTGACGCACATAAAGAGGCAGTTCTGTCCTGAGCTTAGCGACAGTATCTGTTCTCGAGTTTTAGCAATTTAATTTAATGTGATTTAATGCGATCGCACGGTTACCGCGGGCTCGCGGATGCTGCGATCTCGCGGCTTCTCGCGATCTCGCGGTTTTCCGAATCTTACGGATCTCTCGCGGACTTGCGGTTCTTACTGCAATGAGCATTGACGCACACGAAGGGAGAGTATCCTTTCTGGAGTTTGTAGCAATTTAAATTTAAAGTTAGATTTAATTTAATGCGATCGCGCGGTTACCGCGGGCTCGCGGATGCTGCGATCTCGCGGCTTCTCGCGATCTCGCGGTTTTCCGAATCTTACGGATCTCTCGCGGACTTGCGGTTCTTACTGCAATGAGCATTGACGCACACGAAGGGAGAGTATCCTTTCTGGAGTTTGTAGCAATTTAAATTTAAAGTTAGATTTAATTTAATGCGATCGCGCGGTTACCGCGGGCTCGCGGATGCTGCGATCTCGCGGCTTCTCGCGATCTCGCGGTTTTCTGAATCTGACAAATCTTGCGCGGACTGGCGGGTCTCATGGCGATAAACTGCGGAAATTATCGAGATGAGGTGTTATTTGCAGCTGACAAAATTGGGACTGCAACAGATGGGGGTGTTAGGGAGCTGAAGGATAAATGACAAAAGATACAACGGCGAGAACCGGGAGAAAAAGGGAGGACTGAAAACGGTAAAATGCGATAGGAAAGAATGAGGCACATTGGGACTAGGTAAAGAAAGCAGGCGAAGTCATAAACATATAAACATATAAACATATAAACATAAATGTATAAACATATAAACCTTAAAACGTGCAAACGCAGTATAAACACATTAACGTACAAATGGAATAGGACAGCTTAGGAAGATAAAGCAACATGTGGCAGGCAGGTGACCGGCAAGCAAGAAGCGACAAGCTAGAAACAATAAGGAATCAGTGATCAAGGAACGGCAGGCGCACAGATGGCAAACCTTGCTTTAGTAACCAATAAAACAGTAAACACCGAGGCTGGACAGACCTAAAACATGGGTAACCGTTAGGTGACCTACCGAGAAGAAAGGAAAACGGAATACAATAGCGAGCAGAAGGACTGAACGACAGATACTATATACTATAGACAATCAAGGCAGGTAGGGATCGGAAGAAAGGAGGTAAGTCGACAGAGCGAAACGAGGGAATAGGAACGCACGCAGGGAACTCGAGGAGGCAGATCAAACAGGGCGCCATTGCAAACGAGGAAAGCAGGGAGGAGCGAATATGGCGCAAACCGAGAACCCAACCAATGAGGAAAGGCAGAGAAGATTAACAGCATGCGGTTGGAAGGCAGCGAAGGCGGGAGCCTCCGAGAACCCAGCAGGAGGGGCGTACAAAACAACCAAAACCACCTCAGGAAATGGCGGATGAGGAAACAGAGGAGATGAAACAAGGAAGCATTGCGGCAAGTGGGAAGTAAATCAGGAATACAAGACAAGGCCGGAAACAAAATCCGTGGAGGAAAATTGCAAATTTGAGATCTGCAAACTTGTAATAGCGGAAGGTGGACAGGAAATAGGGGAAGAAATTACAGGAAATTGACACCTGTGGCAAGCAGCATAAAACCAAGTCAAATCAAACTCAAACCAACCAACGCAACGCAACATCATGCCAAACGCAGAATACCATTATTCCACAAAACTCAAATTACCTAATTTCCAAATTTCTAATTTTCAATTTCATAAATGTCGTAGCCTACGACTACGACTTTTAAATTATAAAATTTTTAAACTTTCAACTCTCTGATATACAATATACAATACTCATACTCAACTTCATTAAATTCATTAAATTCATCAAATTCATTAAATTCATTAAATTACAAGCCTCTTACAAGCTTCATATGGTTGCAAATCGTAATCTTAGCTAGCCAGACAAACAAATAATGTGGCATGACAAAACACAAAATACAAGGTACAAACATATATATCTTTATATTCTTTTATATTTATATAGCATAAAGTAACGTAACGTAGGATTATAGTACTATATTACTATATTAGTATATTACTATATTATTGTGTAATGTGCCATGATGTGATACGGCATAGTCAGTAAACTAGTTGGCTATGTTGACGGAAAAAACGGCGAAAGGAAATGCAGAGGCAGGAAAGGTAGGAAAATCAGAGCAAGGAAAGGAAGATAGGACAAGGCAAGGGTAGGAGAAAGAGGGAAGCAAAGGAAGGGCGAGGAGTGGAAATGACTAGGCAAGGTTACAAGGAAAGGTAAAAAAGGTGCAGGGACAGTCGAGAATAGGTAGAGACAGTGGTAAGAAGTGCGAGAACGTCAGTGAAAAGTGAACATAGCGAGTAGAAGATAAATTGGAAATAGCAGTGAGATAAAATAGGAGAAGGTAAGTGTATTACAAACAACTGTTAAATATTAGCAGGAACACTATATAAAATAGAGACACATAAGGCAAGGTGACAACAAGACAAGTTAAGCAGCTAATAAATAAAAATAACCAAGTTAATTTAGAACTATTAAGAGGACTGAGAAAGCAAACAAAGATTAAAATTTCAATTCCGGGCCTAACCCAGACTAGGAGTATACATTATAAAATCACGGACACAGAAACTTATACAAATTAATACGTAGGCTTATACTTATGCTTAGGGTCGCACTTGCACTTATACTTACATGCTTGCACTTTACCTAGTTTTTACCAATTTATTTTTATCTACCTCAACCTCTAGTCTTCCATGACGTTTACGGTAATTTAATTAATTTAATTGGATTAATTAAGTTAATCTAAATCGAATTAATGAAATTAATTAAATTACATCATACATATAGATTCTCTACCTTTTCTTTCTTCATTCCGACATTCCTTCTTACTGTCTGACATTCCTTCTTTCTGCTATGCTACGATAATATTTGTACTCATACGCTTCCGCGCCCTCTCTCTCTCTCCTCTTTTGCAGCCGAAATGGAAATGTTTGCCAAAGTCAAAGGGTCCAAAACACCGGGCAGAGATGTGGCAGACATGATGGAGAGGATTCGTGAACAGATAAACGGAAGATTAAAGGACAGCGAGCGGGCTCGAAAGGAGAGAGACGAAGAAGAAAGGAAGCATAGCGGAGCCAAGGGAAAGGGGAAAAAGAGGACAAGACAAGAGGACCAGGGCAAAGGAAATAAGGGAAAGGCGAAAGAACGAAGGATCTGGGAAGATGAGGATGAAGAGGATTTAAACAAGACACTAATGGAGGCAGCAGAGGCGGTAGAGGAAGCGGAGGCGTCGATGAGCGAGCTTGAACAGGTTTTTAGGTGGGAGGATGAAAGCTCGCAGGATCTGCCACGTCCAAACAGCAGCTCCACGCCGACACCAGGGGGAGAAGCTACCAAGGAGGCTGGAGGAAAGAGCAGCAAAGGCAGAGATAAGGAGGAGAGCGCAATAGGAAACAGAAAGAGGGGCAACACGCTGATGGCAACGGAGGAAGAGAGACCTGAGCAGGAAACAGGAAAGGCCAAAATAAGGCAGGTTGAAGTATTACAGCCGGTAATCAAGATCATGCGGCTAAAAACTGATGAAATCAGGGGCAGTGAGATGGAAGCGGAAGGCAAGGGAGAAGAAGAAACAGGGACGGGGGCGAAGCAGGAGGAGGAGCAAAAGCTCATAAGAATGATTAGGGAAATGAGGGCCAACTTCGAAAAGGACAAAGAGGCAAAGGGTAAACGGAGCGAGGAGAAACGGGGCGATGATAGCGAAACCAGAAAACGGGACGATGATAGGGGAACCAGAGAGGGGAAGAAGCAGAAGGAAGGAGGAATAGGAAGTGAAGGAGGAAAGGGGGATAAGAAAGGAAGGAAAGGGGGGAACAGAGGAGAAGAGGTGATACTTATCAAATATCCCAAGGAAGATATAGGATACTGGGGAGCAGTCAAATGGCTGAAGACGGTGGTCGGCGAGTATTCAGAAAATTTTCAGGAGATAAGGGACACGAGGAAAGGGGACATTTTGATAGCGGTTAAAAACGGTAGGGGGG